TGATCTAACGAGCTAAGACATTGCACTTGTGAATATGTGATTGCAAATCTTGAAATGTTTTTAAATGTTTTTGATCGGAATGGTTTAAGGTGATAGCCTTAGTAAACTTATATTGGGCGTCCAAAGCTTACARATCCATGTGTTTGTTAGGCAACTTCGATATGACTGGGAGGAAGACCGCAACGCATGTACAGTACGACACTGCGACGCCCAATTTGAGTATGGTTATGAATACATTGGTTGTGCTCCTCGTTTGGTCATGACCCCCCTGACTGATCGATGCTATCTCACTTTGACTGGTGCTTTGAACCTCCATCTTCATGGTGCACCGTCTGGACCCGCGGGGACTGGGAAGACAGAAACTGTCAAGGATTTGGCCAAGGTTTGTTCTTCTATTTTAGCGAGTAGTTTGTGTTATMTGACTAATTAATGAACGAAAATGCCATACTTTTCAGATTGAATTTTTAAATGCAAACATTCTGTTTTCATACATTAACCATCATTCAAATATATCTGAGATTAAACAAACGACCTCAAATCCGTAAAACGTAATTAATACAAAGTGGGTGTAGTGTGCAAACACTAAAACCATGAAAAAATTTAGTGTTGTGCTATCTAACAGTACTTGCTTTGAATTTTTTTTTTCAGGCTCTTTATTGTTTGCACTCCACTTATTAGTAATAATCGTTTCACGYATTTAGTATGTCCTCTCTACTATTAAATTAGTCTACTATAAAACTAGTGATTTGTCCTGCATTGTGTTTCTTCTGGTTCTTGTCTTTGATTGAATAAACATCTCTATTCCTTTGGCAGGCTTTAGGAAAGCACTGTTTGGTTTTCAACTGTTCAGAGGGACTTAACTATAAGGTAACTTGATTCGAAATAATCCAAATATAATACGTCCTCGAAACTTTTAGTATTTAGTCATTTTGTATATTTTATATGAATTGTATATTTTATAGTTGCTACATAAGTTAGTTATGTTATTGCAGTTTTATTGTAATGCGCTTTTGATCATTATGTGTAAAAAGAGAAATATAAATATTAAATTGTCATTATTATCATTATTATGAGGTCACATGAGAACATCTCACCTCAATTTGAGCTCCGAACTTACAGATAACAAACTTCAACGAGTCATGATTTTGGAGGAGATTGACGCAGTCTGTCATAGCAGACCCATTCCTATAAACTTATAAAACAAATAAGCTCACCGTATGATAATTGACGTGTTTAATGGTGTATTTATCTCGTCATCTAGATGATGGGCAAGATGTTTTCTGGTATCGCTCAGTCTGGTTCCTGGATCTGTTTTGACGAGTTTAATCGTATAGACGTTGAAGTTTTYTCCGTTATTGCGCAACAGCTACACTCTATTAAATCTGCAAAAGACAGCGAGTCAACAAGGTATTATTAATGAGCTTTGAATTAATTTGATTTTCATGAAAGTGAAAGGAGTGGGAATGTCATTCCCAGCGCCATTTTGAAAGTATCTGGGTTAATATCACTTAGATTTCTGAGTAAGAGAGTTGATAGCATGATAATTCTTTGCTTGATTCAGTTGATTGTACGCAAGCATGCAAGCAAGCAAGTCAGTATGCTATACCCTAGCAAGCAAGGCTTAAAAGATACTTCAAGTCGGATATCTGTTGCTATATTTGGCAGTTTGATTATACGACAGGTCTCTCACTGTCTCGTTGATTCCATGTAGTGCTACCTTTCACCTTCACAACAGACTCCTTCATGGTTCCTTGCGCCATCTTAAAAATAAAACTTRGGCTTTGGATCGAAGTGAGACACGTGCTGAGCCTGAAATGATAGATACTTGTGTATAATTGGTTATAGGTGTGAAAAAAGGTTTCTATCATTGCACGCTCAACGCTCGTCTCGCTTCGATTCAAAGGCACGGCTATCTTTCTAGATTCTTGATACTCATATGTGATGTGTCTATTTCTTTAGGTTTCTCTTTGAGGGTCGAGACATCAAGCTTAATTCAAGTTGTGCAGTGTTTATTACGATGAATCCCACGTAAGATATATGAATAATGTGATTTATTTAATAAAGATGACGACGATATCAGCATTGAGTAATAATGATGATGATGACGATAACTAGATTACGATGACAATCGGTCAGATTCTTTATATAGCTATTTCAAAAAAGGTTGTCGGTTGTCGGATGGGTTTTGCTAGTTGAAAGGCAATAACAAATGATTTGTACTGTAAGATGGTCCGTGGTAAACATTGGCTCCATTTAGTCTCCATTTGTATGCAAGGTGAATCCAATAAGTGAAATTTTGTGTTTCAAAACAGTGTAACCATAGTCCCTTTCGGTCGTGCAATCTTCCTTCGACAATCGCCGTTCGCCCTTCTTCCCAACAACGTTTTTGGAATAGCTGTATAAGCGCTGAGTGTCAATCAGGCCAGACACAAAGAGAGCTTCATTGTTATGAATTTGATCTTTTAATTCCTGCGTTCTATCCAGATTTCTAGTGCAAAACCGAGGGAAAAATTCGGCTCTCGACAAAATATTTCAGTACCTAACGAGTCAGACTAATCCGATGGACAGAGCTCTGACATGACAGAGTATTTTATATTGAAATTGTTTGATTTGGTACATTTTTCCATTTTCCACAGTGATATACGAATGAATTTGTTTATATTCTCGATTTGACAAACATGTTGTTTAAACTCGCTTTTTTTCAGGTACGCAGGAAGAGTTGAACTTCCCGATAATTTAAAAGCATTATTTCGTCCCGTGGCCATGATGGTTCCAGACTTCGCTAACATTGCTGAAATCATTCTCTTCTCTGAAGGCTTTGCAGCTGCCGCCATGTTGTCACGCAAATTGTTGAATCTATATCAATTAGCAAGCAAGCAGTTGTCACAACAGGTACATAGMTAGAATCTGTTTTGATAWTTMTRTTGGTAAATTCTCACTGTGACACATAATTCTTTAGGATCATTACGACTTTGGACTTCGAGCCATCAAYTCAGTCTTGATCTTGGCTGGACAAGAAAGAAGATTTTCCAAGTAAGATATACGACTTTGTACATTTTTTGAAACATGAAAACTGGAGATTGACTCCTTTAAWCTGATGTTCATTCTATTTTAAAATCTTTTCGAACTCGATGGCCTTATTTCCTGACGAGTTTGGGTCCAACGCTAACGCTTTCCTCCACTCCATCTGATGGACATCGCCTCCGACCATGTTCTTGATGTCACTAGCAAAATTATTTCTATAAAATTTTCGATAATATAACGCGCGCTTTGATTGGCTGACGACCGTCTTTATAACAGAGGACAGAGACACGGCTTACCGGCCAAATTTGGTTTTCGCTCGAAAAATTTTATAAAAGAAATATGAAACGGCCGCTTGTGTCTCTGTCCTCTGATATAAGCACGGTGGGAGTGTTCCTAAGATTGCTTCTCTCGTGTTTTTCGAACTCCCACCGTGTTTATATCAGAGGACAAAGACACGCGCGTCGTTTTATATTTCTTAAATAGATTTTATTGCAGTGTTGCTTACTTTATTATTTCATACTTATAGTTTGAAAAATGATTCAGAAAACCTTGAAGTGGAGGAATCTAACATCGTGATAAGTGCCATCAGGAGGTCAAACATACCRAAGTTTGTCGCAAGTGATGTGCCTTTGTTTAATAGCATTCTTGATGACCTGTTTCCTGGGGTCTCTCCTCCTGTTCCAGATAACAGGAATCTSAGGGTAAATGTCAAAAGTACATCTTCTCGTTTTCTTCATTCGACAATCGGTTGTTTCGTCAGTGGTTTCTCTGGGCAAAGTGGTCACTTACGAGAGATGGTCGTTTACCAGAAATTTTTTTTTAGAGAGTTTATATTAGAAACTGAACAAAACGGGAAGTTTGAAAGGTGGTCGCTTACGGGAGATGGTCGCTTACTAGAGTGGTCGTTCAAAGAGAGTTAACTGTAGTTTGGCTAGATTGCCCTAGTTCATTATGACGTCACATCAAAACATTCTATTGTTTTAACGCTAAGGATTATGGTRGCCAGAAGGGATCAAAGTGACTGAATTTCAAATAAAATGTACATGAACAATCATTTATACATGATATATATCAAAACACGATTTATTGAAGTTCTATTTTAGTAGACAATATAAATGGGTCCAAATTTCCACTGTTTTCGATGTAAACATACTACTGTGACGCCATAATGAAATAGGGCAATTGTTGGCTGATTTGTAGGACATTTGTAAGGTTTGATTGGTTGATTGTTTATTTTACAAATCATGTCGTTGGTTTAAGCTTTATGTGTTTGGCCTCAGTTTTTGTGAATTGTACAGGCGGTTTACGGCGGCTGGTAGGTTTTGATGCGACAATGGTCAATTTCTATTGTGCGTAATATAATTTTTCTTGGTTTTCGTTGTCAACGGTTTTGGTTACTGTTTGTAAGGTTTCCTTGTGGGTTTGATTTGTGGATTTTCAATGGTTTCAATGGCTGACGAGTAGCTTTTGTTGAGTTTTCTTTTCTAGCTGTGTGTTAGTTGGTTTCCATGGTAATATCTTAACAATTCCCATACTATTTACAGCGAGCCATATCCATTGCCCTGGGTGAAACACACTACGASTCGTGGCCATCCCAGATCGATAAAATCGTCCAGGTCCATCACACCCTTCTTGTCCGTCACGGTATTATGCTAATTGGTCCAGCGGGCGGCGGGAAAACCACTGCCAGACAAATATTACAGCGAGCTTTAGTTTTCTTACCGAGCGTTCAGCATCGCGAACAGCACGAAAAACACTTGGAAGACTACGAGGATAAAACTTCTAACAAGAGCGGCTTAACGCACATGGTAAAAGTTTTATGAATCAAATCCGACAACTGTTTAGCTCAGCTTGTACCAAATTTAACGCTGGAGGGCACGGTTGGTGGGGTATTTTTTTTTGAAATAATCGAGAAATAATAATTTGATTCTCCTCCTGAAAATGGTTCAACACCACTTTCGGATAACGACGTTAAACCGTYGATCCCATCTTCCCACTTTTCCTGGGGACATAAAAGACCAACACTGTTACTAAAACCAAATGTAGTCGCTCTTAATAAATATATTCTTTGAAATGTTATAGCTGTCCAAGGCTCACAAAGGTAAAGTTGAGGTATCGCATATAAACGCCAAGTGCCTCACCCTAGGGGAGCTGTACGGCGAATTTAATGCAACTACCATGGAATGGTCCGATGGACTGCTGTCTTGTGCTTACCGTCAGTTTGCTAAAGAAAGTCGAATTAGCACAAACAAGAAAAAGAAAAAACAAAAAGAAAGTCAACCGTCTTCACGTTCTACAACACCGGCCTCAACAATTAGGCCTCAGTCGGCTCGGTCAACTACGACCGTTTCTGGTGTTACTGGTGAAGAACAGACAGTTGAAGGTAAAGAAGCTCAACGCATGTCAAAACTCATATTTGGTACCCTAATGTGATGCTAATTCTTTCTCCATTTTCACATTTTCAATACAAAGAAATATCATATTTTTATATCTTGGTTGTGTTTCCCATCTCTGCTCATTACAAGTTTATAGAACTATTTGCGATCAGAGCTCTAAAGTCTCGTGACACCTTTCATAACAGCGAACTTATCCATATTTGTCAGTGTTCRTGTGTTTATTTTTCTTTGTTTCCATGAAGTTGAAACCACGTACGCGGACGAGACCCAGTCATCCGTYCAAGACGACGGTTTAACGAAAGAAGAAATCCGGAATTGGTATTGGATGGTAATGGATGGTCCAGTGGACACACAATGGGTGGAGAATCTCAACACGGTTCTAGATGATTCAAAGGTAATATTTGACACTTTGATAGCCTGGMACCAGAAGYGTGAATAGTGCTGTCCGACGAAAAAATCATRGTACAAACTAATGCAGTGGATAAATTTATCCATCCTTCGTGTAAGKTTTTTTWACAGAAATAAGTTGGTCTMATTAGAWTGGYTTGARAGCCGTGTTCACGCGGTGCGTCATACATCAAGGCTTGTATCGTATTCATCGAGCGTGCTCCTTAGAGCTGMTTTAACATCGATTATGGATAACCTCTTTATATTATCAGGGTTATTGCCTTTCTCTTCTTATTTTATTTAATTATTATTTTTTTGTTGGATAGGTTCTATGTCTTGCTAATGGTGAGAGGATTAGTATGGGTCAAGGAATGAGAATCATTTTTGAGGTTGATAACCTTTCTAATGCTTCTCCTGCTACTGTTAGTAGATGCGGCATGGTGTACATGGTAAGTACTATAATGCTTATGATTTTGATGGGAATATATAAAATACAAGTGGGAGACCTTTATGGGCATTTTCAAAAAAACTGCGAGCTCCAAGCGAGACGGACGCAAATATTTTATATTGCTTATCAAATTCCAACATAAGCTGAATCATATTTTGCAAATAAACTTCAAGATAAAATATCATTTTTAAGAGAATATCGAAGTTAAAGACGTGTGCAAATCAGGACAAATCTCTCGCTCATATAAAGATGCGGTCACGGCAATGATTTTCCATTGTGTTTGCCTTATGAATTATTAATGAATGTGATAATGCAATATGACTACCATATCCATGATTGTCCTGGAGATGATGTTATTTGATGTTTGCGTTCTCCTGGAAATTTCTTATACGATCGCATTGTCTACAGGAGCCCGATGATCTTGGCTGGAAACCGTATGTAAACACGTGGCTGAAAGACATCAAAGAAAAGTACAAGGTTTGTAAWTGATCTTTTAGATATATCAAGCATGTATCGTCGATGGATTTACCAAGAGATCTTTCCGTAGAAGGAGAAAAAAATAAAACTGACGAAAACTAAYCCAAAAACAGCAGCAAACAAACCAACATTAACAGCAACGGCAAACGCACCTACACTTTACAGCAACAAGAACGATAACATTAATGACAAACGATTATATCTAGCTGAAGTGATACTAGGAACCAACTCTTCCYCATTCAGGATTTCCTTTAAAAAATCCTTTGTTTTGCAAACAGAATCATTAATTTATGACTTTTGACAAGCTTGTTTTTAAAACTGTTTTGTTGCTACGTTTTCTACCATTTCTGTATGATGGTCTTAGCCTTAGGTCTTAGCCTTATGATTAATAAACCTTTGTATTTTCTAGGTTCCTGACCTAGCGAGTCATTATTTACTATCCTTGTTCAATCACACCATTGATGCCGGTATTCGATTCATGAGGGAGCACTCAGAGAATCTCAACATACATCCACCGTCATTAAGCTTAGTCTCAACCGTTTGTGGCATCATTGGAGGCTTTATTGACATCATCGAACATCATGGCGGCTTCATTTTACCAGAGCAAAAAGTTGTGGAGCCTCAAGCGGAAAATGAAGACAAAACGGTCACATTCGCRGATGATTTCGAACGCGAATTGAAAACTCGACGSGTATCGTGCGTGAGGCAAAACCCAAAGCAARTACTTGCGTTTCTTGGTAAAGTTTTCGTCTTTGCTTTCACGTGGGCATTTGGTGGAGTACTTGATTCGCATGGTYCTGACAGTGATGAAGATTTTGACGACCAGCGTTTCACTAGGACAGGCGGCCGTTTCTATGGTCAGGATCAAGGGGAAACAATAGCACAAGTCTTCGATAGTTTCGTAAGAAATCTTTTCACGTTGACTGGAGAAATGGGAGTTGTTCTTCCTGGTGGAAGCGATACCATGTTTTCCTACTACATTGACATAGAAACAGGAAACTTTGCCAAATGGGAGGTACTCGTTCCTCCAGTTCGTGCTCTCATTGCTAAATCGATCACAGACCACTTTGTCCCAACTGATTCAATTGGTGACGAAGTGATGATGGATTACGACATCGATCGCTCACTCGTCCCTACACTTGACACAATTCGTTATTCGTTTTTGGTAACGATAATGGCTGTAAGTAAGCAACCAGTATTGCTGACAGGAGGTATGGGTGTTGGTAAGACCGTTCTTATTATGGATATCCTGTCGCGARTGAGTCACCGRGGTGGCACTTCTACAAATGCTGGTACCATCCTAGGTGCAGTTTTCCGCTCTGGTGGGAAGAARCTCGTGGAAAGCATTCTAGAGGCCAGTTTAGGGATGGATAACACTGCCTATGGRTATGACGACGAGGATGATACGTCTGAACCCTTGTYTTTTGAGAAYATCTTATTTTCAGCTCATACAACTGCCTCTCGAGTGCGTTCGTTTATCGAGTCCAAGCTGATCAAGCGTGGKAGAGAAGCACTYGGCCCYAAACAAGGATATAAGGTAAGAATATATTTTTTTATCTCTTGTCACATGCCTCCCAATAATTAATGAATATGTAATTCAGAGTTTACTGTAATCGGCTAGTAAARACGTTGAACGAARCAGTTTTGGTCTAAGKTGTGCGCGTTGATCGGATATGGATTGGTTGGTGGCTGCTAGGCACCTTTGTCCTTACTTGTACCGGCAGTAAGAGTGTTGAATCATGCAAATGTATTACGCTTCATTAGAAATTGAAATCACATTTTAGGAAAACTTTCCCATTTTCGCAAAATCAAGTTTTTTTGGGGGTTATTCAGATAACCCTTCCAGGTTCTTGATAGTTATAATTGTAAGTATCAATATTGTTTTGTAATTATCAGATGGTGATTTTTATGGATGATCTCAATATGCCTCAACCAGACGTCTACAATTCTCACCCTCCTCTTGAGCTTGTCCGTGAGCTAGTTGACTCTGGAGGATTTTATGATACCAAGAAACTRCTTTGGAAGGAAGTACACGATGTTACATTGTTAGCTGCGTGTTCTCCACCAGGTGGAGGGAGAAGTCCGTTGAATGATCGTCTTCTTCGACATTTCAGGTAACTTGCTGCCGCCTCGTGCAAATCGTATTAATTTCCTGCTTTGAATTGTATGAATATATATTGTGCTTTTACGCTCACTTGGAAATATATATTTCACTTGGAAATATATATTTTCAATTCTCTACATAATGTAAAAAAAAATATCAGCAGCAGTTCTAATCATAGATGTTGAAATGGCAAAACGACGCGGAAAGTCAGTCACGTGATCTTTTTTCCGGTTGATTCAAATACGGGATCGGCAACAGTTTTATAGCTTTAGGTGTAACGATTTATAAGTCATTGTAAATGTAATTGATTGTAAATGTTTTGTCTTTATTTTTTTCAGCATCCTAAATCTACCTTCGCCTACTACCAATTGGCTGAAGCATATCTATGGAACACACCTTGGCCGTTACCTGGAGAATAGTGAATTTACAGATGACGTCCGTAATTTGCGTAATAAAATAGTTAATGTTGTTATGGATCTGTACAACAAGATGAGCAGCGGACTTCTACCGACACCTGCCAAGACTCACTACACATTTAACTTGAGAGATATCAGTAAGGTGAGATATCAGTAAGGTGAGATATCAGTAAGGTGAGATATCAGTAAGGTGAGATATCAGTAAGGTGAGCTGGGCACTATGTCTAGGAAATCTTTATCATCAAGCGAGAGTTGAATCATTTGAATCATATCAATTTTAAAATTTAGGTCGTTTGGAGAAATATTCACTCGTTTTGATTGACTTTGTCTTCCGTAATTAGTAAATGTCGGCCATGTTTGGATTTCTTTAGAGACCAGACCTGTTTTTCAAAAACAAAAGGAAGTCRAACATAATGCACWGGGATCTAAAGTGGGAGTCTAGTATAACAATAAATGATTATAGACATACCATATTCCATATTATATTTGATATTTTTTGATTATATTTGATATTTGTTATAACATTTTATCGCAGCAGGCATCTTATTCAGATGRTTTTTTTTGGAAAATAAACACGAAGCAACTGATAGTTGTAGTTTGTGATGTCATCATGAAAGTTGATAAAATATGATGCTGAATAAGCATAACTTAGTAAAGTCGAACCCCTTAGTCATTKACRGGTCACCCCTGGCWYAGYAAARACCTTGTYAAGTAGAGGAAACACCATATTGAGGGWGACCGGTATAGGGTCGCTTTAAGAGTGAATGGAATGTTGTTTTATCAGGTGATCGATGGTATGCTTCAAGCTCATCCAACGGTTATCACTACCAYAGAKCACTGTATCCAGTTACTAATACACGAGTGTTGTCGGGTATTTCACGATCGTCTAATTAATGAAGATGACCGTCGCTTCTTCTATGGTGCACTGTCRGAGACGCTTCATACGGGCTTTAAAATCAACTGGATGACTGACGCACTGCGGAATATGCCAATTATGTTCGGAGACTTTGTAGACACAAGCAGCATATCATCTAAAGGCACCAAGGTCTATCATATGATGCAACATCAAAGGGTTGTGCGAACGCTAGAGGTTTGTCTTTATACTAAATCATTGAAAGATTGATTGATTGATTGATTGGACTGATTGACGATGGATTTATTTATTAATTTGATTGATTGATTGGTCGCTTGGTTGATTGATTGATTGGTTGGTCGATTGATTAGTTGATTAGTTGATTGTTTGATTGATTGATTGATTGATTGATACATTTATCAATCGATCATGGGCTGATTGAATAATGGTTGGTTAATGGCATTAAATCAGTTATAAAACTTTTGATCGTTTTCCTTTCCCTCTCTTAGGATAGCTTTGGTCAAGCCAGACATTCTTGGGGGTCCTCCCAACACCGACCCGTTTTCTTTGGCATGGCTGTRCGGCATATCACTCGCGCTGCTCGAGTATTGCGTAACCCGGGGCATCATATGATGATGGTTGGCGTTGGTGGGACAGGTAAGTGCACTGTAGCACGCCTAGCGGCGTATATGGAGGAGTGCCACTTCATGAAACCCGTAGCATCCCGTGTGTACTTGCGGCCTGAGTTCTGTGAAGATATCAAGAGAGCCTACTTAAATGCTGGTCTAAATGGAGAGAATACAGTTCTGTTCCTTACCGACAATGTTTTAAAGGTCAGTTGACAAACAGTGTCTTTTAGTTTTCCCTTCACGACCTTAAAAGGCCGTGGTCGTACCTTAACATGYCGACCAGTGAGCTTGCAATGCATGARGTCAATGAATGGTCGGCAACGATTGAAGTTAATTGACGACAGGCAGAAAAAAAGTCATAAGTAATAGATCAAAACCGAAAATGTAGCTCTAAAAACCTATTATTTCAACAAAAATGTACTTTTCCAGGATATCTTTCTGGAAGACATTAGCAGTATTCTAAGCTCGGGCGAAGTCCACGACGTTTTTGAAAAAGAAGATGTGGAGAACATTGTGTTGACTCTAAACCGAGAGGTGACTCGACTCGGAATGCGAGACTCGAAGAAAGCCATCTTTGAGTACTTCCTACAGCGCGTTAAAAAACGACTTCATCTTGTGATATCTACCAGTCCTGTTGGTCAACACTTRAGACATCGATGRCGATTGTATCCATCGTTAATAAACTGRTGTACTATTGATTGGTTCGATACWTGGCCYTTGGARGCGCTACAATCAGTGGCAGCCTCCTTTCTAGAGAATACAGACTTTGACATTGTCCAGGCTACAGATACACTGGCTCTA